GAACCACTCCCACAGCCTCATCGTGAGCACCGGCGCGCGATGAAGTAGGGCCTATTGCAAAAGCCAAGGAGGGGAGGTGCGAAGTTCGGATGAGGAATGTGACTCGTTTCTCCTACAAGTATCAATCCGCAAACATCTCTCCCTCCTCTTGAGTCTTGCAAGAAGGCAAGGCGTGCGCAACTCTGGGCGGCGAGAAGCGCGTCTTGGCCCAGCGAAGGTTCGGAGGCCAAGTTTGGCTCTGTTGAGTCATTTTCGCTCCTCAGCAACCTTGGTGAACTCGCTGAACCGCTGAATTGTGATGCATGGCTCTGCCATTCCATTGAGGAGATGCAGAGCTGCCGGCCATGTCATCAACCTGCCCACGACCTTCCACGCCAAACTGCGAAAGGATCAAGGCAACGGTCACCCAGAAATGTCCACATCAATCTCGGCACTGGGGAACCGCGCTTTGAGCCGACCCTTGAGCTTGGCAGCTTCACCTGGGTCCTCGTTTTCTTCTAAGCCCAGTCTCAGCTGGGTGACCCCCTGGAGTTGGCAAAGGCCATCGGCCAAAGCTCGGAAGCCAGCCTTGCCAATGTTGTTCTTTTTCAGGAACAGCGTCAGCTGGGTGATGTGCAGTTTCGAGATCGCTTTGGCCAAAGTAGTGCATCCATCGGAGCCAATCTCATTCTCCTTCAAGCTCAGGATCAGGTGGGTCATTTGCCGGAGATTGGAGATGCCATCAGCCAAGGCAATGCACCCATCCTTGCTGATCCGATTGCAATCCAACTCCAGTTCCAACTTCGTGAGGTGGTGCATCTGGGCGATTCCAAGGGCCAGTGCTCGGCACCCAGCATCACCGACTCCGCTGCCACGAGCTTCAGTTTCACTGCCACATACTTTGAAAGTGTGATGCGTCCAAAGCTTGACAAGTCCATTCATGGCATTGGGATCCTGCACAAGGAGAAATAACAATCTTTCCTCCACTGCCACATCGTCCCAGGAAAGGCCATCAACATCGTCACCTCGTCTGTGTAACAGCATTATACGAAGCAATGTGAAAAATGCCGGGTGAGCCGCTGCAAGCAACTCAGAAGGCGCAAAAACAACTCCCTCTGCCAGTTGCCTCTCCCGCTCCCCTATGTCCTTCATCACCTGCTCCGTGGCCCCAATCCACTGTTGGTCGTCCACCTCCTCCCACAGGTTCTCCTCAGACTGCGCCTGAAGACGAACTCATGCGCCGCTGTGAACTCCTCGGACAGCTCTTCTTTTCCGTTTGCAAAAGCATCCATAGCTTCTTGTAGCATCCACTCCCTGACGTTCCAGGCAATTCTATAGTGGCAGGCCAATGCAATTGCCTAAGGCGCACAGCCGGCACAGCGATGTTCACCATCAGGATGTACGGCTTGAGTCCATCTGCAACAGAAACAGCACAGGCTGTTTAAGTCCTTGAGGGAAATCCTCCACCAGCATGGCCCACCGGCGTGCAGGGGTCGATTGCTTGTAAAAGACTATCAGCATTTTCTTGCAGTTGCTGTGTTCATGGGCTTTCCCAGGTGCCTTCAAGCTCAGGATCGGCAGGTAGCTCTGCTGGAGCTCCAAGCGATTCGACTTGTTGGGCAAGAGAATGCAAAGGTGCAGGGCCCACAAATATAGCAACGCCCCAGCTCCCAAGATCTTCACCCACCAAACCCTTGATGTAAGGGCCACCGCT